TTCTCATACCTTCCCCAAAGTTAGCATTTGACAGAGACACAGTTGCTATAAAGGATTTTAGTACTGTCAGTTTGACAGGGCTAGGAATGTTCTTCTGTGTCCTCTGGGAGTAGCTCAGGAGCTAGGAGTTACAGTCTAGTGAAAGTTAACAATTTTCTGTCAATGCTGATGCCCCTTTCTAGATGCAGTGTGGATGAGGCAGCTGATCAAATTCCTAGTCATGCTGGAGGGACTTGAGCAGGGCTGGTTTTAGCACGAGGTCAAGGAGTTGTGGATGTTGTCAGGAATGTTGTTGAGTAGATGCTGAAGCAAAATCACATCTGGCCAGAAAGTTGTCATTCCATACACTGAAAGTGTCCAGGCTTCATCACCAATGCTGGCTCAGAGAAACACCAAGTTCCCCCTCAGCAGAGTATGTGGCCCTGTGTGCCCCAGCAGAATTAAGTTCGGGGAATTCCAGGCAGGGATGCACTAAGCAGGCTGCTGGTGAGGACCACCAAACAGATGCAGCCAGTGGGCTCCTGAAGCATCCCTCAAAGCCATGCTCAGAAGTGCCACAGACATAATGGGACTTGTTAGAGGGTTGTGACAGTGCCAGCTGAGCTCTAAAAAGACGATGAGAGCACCACATTAGTTTGTTTGACAATGGGAAAAGTCTCAAAGGTAAAAAGGTTTGGGATGGTTCATTTGAAAGCTACATGAGAGTTGTCTATGGTGGTATCTGTCAGAGATACAATCCTTTTATTCAGTCAACAGTGAAGGGGTGAAGGAAAAGAGAAATACATGAATCCTGATGACTGAAAGGTTGTGCTTGTGGAATAAGTATCCCTGCAAGCTGCTGAGTGTCTGCAAATAGCCAGAGCTGGAGCTGCATGACAGCTGCCATGGTTCAGTCCTTGCACAGAGAGGAAAGCCACCTCTCTAAAATTATTTAGTGTCAGATCCCTCCACTCATCTGCCAGGTGCCAGGGTCAGTGACAGGAACCTGGCCCAGCACTCCAAATACACACCATCAAATACTAGGGCAAAGGAACCAGGGGGAAGCCCAGAGCCCACTTTCCAAGGTGTATACAGTTTGTTTTGTAGGATGAAGGGTGATTAACTCTCAGATGTGGCACTCTCTGTCCCAGATCACCTTTGTGGCCCTTGTATAATGAAAGGTGTATATAATCATAACACAACTCCACCACCACCATAATTTTCCTCACATGTAAACAGTAACAAGACATCCACAGTCTTTTTTTCCAGAGCTACAGTTTTAACTGTTTTAATAAAAGACACACAAGTTGTCGTTGTGGTGTTGTCACATTTTGTTCTCTTGCTCTTATTCCCTCTCCCCTCTATCAGGGTGGTAAGAAGCCTTCTGCCAGCACAGCACTTTAGGCATTACTCCTCTCTTTTCAAGAAGGTGAAACAGCACTAAATACTATTTTAAAAGTCTGCCTATTCTTGGAAGAGAGATGAATCTGTATTCTTAACATGCTAACAGTAAACTCAGTGGCTGGGCTCAGGTCAAACAAAAGGGACCTGAACCAAATGCAGAGTAAGAGCTCATAATTTGCATCACCTAAAAGTATCACAAGAAACTTAGAAAGAGATTAGTTTAGAGAAATACTGGGAGAGGCAGGGAAAAACACAGTTTTCCTTGCCTTTTCTTTGGCTGCCTAATGTGGGCATAGTTCCCTGGGTAGCTGCTCTGTATTATAGCATTTTTCTTTATTTTAAATAAAACAAAATCCTGCAAAACATAGCACAAACCAGAGTTCTGGCCTTGGAAATTTGCAGCCGTCCTTTTCCATGAGCCAGACAATAATGCAACTCAGCGACCAATCTTGAAAATGTTCCACAGCCCTCAACTTGCTCGTAAGAAATAACAAATACACAGATACTTAATGTTCAGCCCTAAGACACAAACAGGTTTCCCTTCTTTCTCTGCCCTTTTTCAGCCCATTTAGACCACGCTGGCCTGTCACATACTGAAAGCCCTACTCACTGCCCCACCAGATGCAGGCTCTTGGGAAATGGTGATACATGGTCACCATCCAGGAAACGAGGAGCCTTCAGGGCCTGCTCCCAATTTAGACCAAGGCCAAACGAGTCCAGCTCATCTGCCTTGAAGAGAAATGACTCATGCAGTTCAGCCTCATCTTATTTCTGCTCAGGATATATGATTTCTTTCCTTATCCTGAAGGCTGAGAGAAACATGACAGAAGTGCCTGAGGCAGCTGTAGTTTACTTTAAACTTTCCAATTCTATTTCTGATGTTTCAGCTGCCAGGAAAGCCAGCCTTCCAAGACATACTGTCCCTCATCCTTTGCAGGTAGCTCCTTTGTGCAGAGGCCTCTCCGTTATCCCATGGCACCTTCAAGAGACAGACAGTCCCAGCAGAATAGCACGGGCTACTTTGACTCCCTGCATTTCAATGCTAACAGCTTAGAAATTCTTTCTTCAGAGGTCACCCACACTCTGAAGAGGAACACAGCAGTCATTCAACCCTTCCAAGCCAGAAGCTGCTCCTTCCCTTGCCATCCTGCCAGGATGTGTGCAGAGAGCTGACATCTTCCAGCAGCAGCCTGGGGTCCACTTCAAGCTCACAACAAGGTGGGGACTGAGGAGTGGGACTGCAAAGCTCCAGATCACCTTGGCTTTACAAATGGTGGCATCAGGAAGGGGAGAGACTTGTAGTGCTACTGAAGGTGATCACTTAACTTTCATTTAATCCATATTTATTCTCTTTGCTTTTTTTACAGTAAACCTGGGACGAGTTGGAGGAAAAGAGGTTTGAGAGAAACAGGCACAGCCTCGAAGAGTTTTCTGATGTCTGACAAAGCAAAGGGCTACCCTGTCACATACCAGTCATAAGGCTGAAGCCTTAGTACATCACCACATCCGTGGTCCCCAAACAGGGCTGGAACCCTGCAAAAATCCTCCCTGCTGCCATCACCTTACAGCACATGGTTCTGGCCCATGCCAGGAAATCCTTCCTGCAGGTGCCCTTCTGCTAAGGATAAAATTCTGACACGGATAAACTTTTTTTTTTTTTTGCATGAAGGAGCAGAGAGGAAGACAAAGCCTATTTATTCAGAGGATTCACAGTGTCACTCATCATCTGTGTCCATGCCCACAGGGACACCGGGCCCACGCCGTGCTTGGCAGGGCTGTGCCAGCAGTAGGAAGGTGTGAAGGTGCACAGAGACCACCAGACACAAATGGCAACGGTGGCTCCCAGAAACAGGTCCAGGCAGCGGTCAGTGCAGGAGGAAGGAGGAGGGATGGGCACAGCACAGCGGCCCCGCCGCCACTGCGGCCTTCCTCCTTCCTCCTCCTCACAGCCCCCACTGCGGCCTTCCTCCT